ATTATTATTATTATTATTATTATTATTATTATTATTATTATTATTACTATGGAGAAAAAACTGGCAGAACAGTTGAAAAACGAATTCATAAAGTTACTGAGTTATTTACAAATTAATTAATTACAAATTAATTAATTACAAATTAACTAATCAATTAATAATTAATAGTTAATTAATAGTTAATTGTTAATTGTTAATAGTTAATAGTTAATTAATAGTTAATAATTAATTACTATTGCTGTAGTCATTTTCGTAATATACTGTTAATTGCATTGATTGCCGCTATGGTGAAATTTGAATCAATTTAATCTATTTTCAATTAATTTTATGCTAAAACTTCAATTCAAAAAGAAATCATTGCCATTCCAATGAATTTACTTACTGCAAGCTCCTTTAATAAATAAAGGAAGACTGGAAATATTCATCATTTTCACTAAAATCCTGAAATTCTTTCACCTAAAGGTCATAATAACTCCTTCAGTTTGGAATATCGCAAAATTCGAAATAATTAAAATAATTATGTCTGAATAATAAAAATAAAGAATTAATTATGCCATGAATTGTAATTTAATGAACATCTAACGTGATGAATCATTTAGCTAATTTTCATCCCTTTTTTTAATTATCATGCTTATCATTATTGATTAAATTAATAGAAACCAATTTACGTGCAAATATTTCCGGTCTGATAACCAATCATATTTCAATCATTGTGATGTAATCAGATTCTCCATTATGCAAATGTTCTCGGTCTGATAACCAATTATATTTCAATCATTGTGATGTAATCCGATTCTCTTTTGTACAGCCGTTTTTTATATTCACACATACCTAAATCCTGCATTCAATAAGATTTTATGGGAATATTTGTTGCAAACCACTCTTTCTATACATGTATATATAGAATGATGTGGAGTTCAGAAAGAAAAAAGGAGTTGTATTTCTTCTTTGACTTCAGTCTTTACTTCTTGTCACATTATACTCGATCAATAAAAATTATTTCTACATATTTCAATGTTATATGTCACTACCACAATCTACATCTAAACGATTCACTTCTGAATTACTACTTCAACAAGTAATCCTATATTCTCCCGGAGTAACGATTAAAGAAAATTCTATTATTGAACAATTATTCATAATTATCTTACAACGATTAATTTGCAACAAATATTCCACTATTCAAATCAAAACACTCCTAAAACAAATAATCATAACAATAAGATCCAATTATAAAATATGTTAACCCATTAGTGATCTGAATACCATCCAACTTCGTTTCATTTCTAATTATCATTAAATTACTTTAATATTAGGAAGGTAACAACATAATTATGAACAAAAAAAATCGTTAAAATTAATTAAAACTTTTGAAAAAATTAAATTTTCCTACTTCAAATACAATGTAACGCATAGGAATAATTGCAAAATGAGGATATCTAATGAAGGAACATATTGGAATCATTCAAAGCTGTCATCTATCATTCCATCAATTTCTTCATCCTTTTGTTTTTCTCCTTTTTTCTTCGGTTTTTATCTCTTTGTTTTTTTGTTTGAACAGTTGTCTTACCGACAAGAAATTTAGAATTTTGTGGTTGACGTGATCGAATGGTGAAATTGGATTAATTTTTCATATATTTGCAGTCTATTGCGATTATTTCATTTCATTCTGCTTACAAGTTTTATTTCATTCTGTTAACAAATGAAATATTGCTATAGTAGAAATTAATTAATTATTATTCTAAATGGTTTTTTCTTTTTTTCTATCAGTATGTTAAAGTAGAAAATGGGAAACCTAAAATTGGACAAGTAATTTTGGATGTATTTTATCGATTGCAATTATTTTTTGTTTAATAATTCTGTCTTAATTTAGGATAATAAATCTACTTTAGTAATTTTGGATTTGTGAGCTGCAATTATTCTTTGTTTAGTAATTTCGTCTTAATTTAGGATAACAAATCTACTTTAGTAATTTTTGAAAAAACTTGTTAGTGCAATTATTTTTGTTTAACAAACCCGTCTTAATTTAGGATAGCAAATCTACTTTAGTAATTTTGGATTTGTGAGCTGCAATTATTCTTTGTTTACTAATTCCGTCTTAATTTTGAATAACAAATCTACTTTAGTAATTTTGGACTTATGAGTGCAATTTTTCTTTGTTTACTAATTCCGTCTTAATTTTGAATAACAAATAAACTTTAGTAATTTAGGACTTATGAGCTGCAATTACTGTTTACATTTGCTGACCTTTTCTGTAAGTTAAAATTACTGCTTACATTTGCTGACCTTTCTTGTAGATTGCAACTACTGTTTAAATCTGCTCTTATCTTACTAAGCAAATCTATTTTTATCTTCAAAAGTGTTTAAAAGATAATATCAGGGTATTTTTTCTTACTCATTTACTTAATACTAACTTTATTAGATGAAGATGTATCATGATTAAATTTTACATTAGTTATTCAGTATAAATTGATCGATCTATTACTAAAATTTATTACTAAAATTATTTTTTAAATTCCTAGATTTTTAATTTTCATTTGAAATTTCAATTATTTATCATTTGTGATAGCAGTTGTTGATGTAAAACAAGTGAAGAATGTTAATTTATTTTATCCTCGATAAATGTAGCAAAATAAATCTGATTCTATCCTATAATTATCAATTGATTAATAGCATTTAGTGATCAATTTATCATCATCATTTGAATCTTCTCCAAAAAAAACCTTCCACAATTCTCTAAAAACTTCTTCCAAAAAAGAGGAAAATTGATTCCAGAAATTCTAAATGATTATGAATTTCATTGAAGAAAAATTAATCGATAAATCCGAGCTTTATCAAATTAACTGCGTAATATATAGCATTTGAAATATTATGCTACATTATATTAAAGTTATCGATATTATGCTATACTTTTATCATAATTTGCAAGTTAAATAACACTATATATAACTATTACTAGATAATTTCTTTCTTTTAAACTAGTATTTATTACGAATAAATGGGAATAATTGGAATAAGAACAATTAGAATAAAAACCACTAGGTAGTTTAGAAGTATCTAATGATAGTTATTCTAATTATTCAATATTAATAACTGCTAATAATTATAATTGCTGCAGTATACTATAATATAAGTTATGCTATAACATAAAAATTACACTACAATATAATTTGTGAATTATACTATATTATACCATGTCTACATCATACCATATATTCTATCTTATATATATATACCATATATTAAATTGTAATGAGTTATGCTATATTATATCATATCTATGTTATACCGTATATCTTACATTATATCATGTACATTACATACCATATATTAAATCATAAGTTATACTATATTATACTATAATTGATGAATTATAATATATTTTTTGCACTTGCTTGTCTAAATATTGTGCTGCAGAAAAAACATTTCATACCGAGTGATATCAAATTATATGAGTTACAGTAATCCATAAAGTTACATGATACTATACATGAATTATATAGTAATATCAGTGTAGTATGAAATACTATTTTCTCGCTTGAGTACCAATACGATTTTTCTGATGGAGAAACATCTAGTAATACTTCCGCATGGGAGATTGATTCAAGATACAAATCGTTCTCATCATGTAGACCTCAAAATTATTAGAAAAGTCTTTTCCATCCTGAATATCACTAAACGCTTTACTCTTTAACTTTGCTAATATATTGTGATATTTATTTTGATATGAAAATGTTATGATTTGCTTCTAATTTTGCAAAAATTATATTGATTGGAGCAGTAGAAAAGATTTTTTTTCGATGAATAATGTAAACAAAATTTAACTTAAATTTGAGAGAAAGTAATTCGGTGAAAAAGAAGTTAACTATTATTAAACAATAAAAATGTATATATTTGCTTCAGATGAGAAAATGAAAATTAATAAAAGCTAACATTCAACCAACCTGTTTCTTTTAATATATCAAATTTGACTGTATTTTGAGAATCACATGCATCAGAATTTTTGAAATTTAAATATCTCATGTAATTTGTCTAATTGGAATAAATAGAAACCAGAATTCAAAAATAAGCGTCAGAATTCAAAATGTATTTCAAAAATAGATGTAAAAATAAACTTCTTCTTATAGATGAATGATTTTTGATCGCTGTAATAAAATGCGCACATTTTATGATCAAAATTGTGCCAAAATAAAATTCTTCAATAATCGAAATTTTTTGCAGCAGTGATGAACAACTGGACTTCATTTTTTTGCATTCCACTTATGAAATCACCCTAACAATTTTTTGCTAAGTTCCTTTAATATAAACTGTCAAACTTTCGTGGCTTTCCGGAAAGTATATTGAACTGTCTTCTAAATTCGGAAACCACCGCAAATCCTACCGAGACAGAGAGTTTTGAATACCGCATTAGTGTAAAAGTAATCTTACTATTGGCACTTGAAAAGAATTAAACATGTTTTTTGCGTGAAGACTGACTTCTATTTTCTGAAATTCGATTTTTGGGGCTTGGAAATTAGACTTTGCCACTTAAATCACGAATCTATGAACAACAAAGTGAAAACAATTGAAAAATGTGAGCACTTTAAATCACGATCAAGCGTAGAAAACCTGCAAATTTTCATATTCGCAGTTAGATTTTGCCTACTGAATAAAATAGCAGAAGTAGAAGGCAACAACAAAGATCGAAAAATCGAATGTGTGAAACCGCTGAGGCTAATTCTCTTCACCTTGTCATATTCGAAGTTTCTTTCCAACCTAGAGAGATGGACGTAGTAGGTATGATAGAGGATATCCTATTACAATATACATGTTAGATAATTTTGAGGCTCTAGAAACAAAAAATAGAACATTTTTCAGTCAAAAGAAACATAAATAAATTAAAATGTTTGAAAAATTACATAAAACACATTCTAAAACATGCACAGTCGAGAAAAAAATGGACACTGGATAAATTTTCCCAAAACTAACTTATCAAACAGGAAAAAGTAAGACATTTAATTCTAATGTTCGAATTCGTCGCCCGAATCATATTCATCAAAAGGCATATTCTTCAGTTTATTTGCATGAATGTCCAGTGCATCCAGACATCGACTCCACTGGTAATTTACATTTCTCACTGTATCAGCTGGATAAAGTTCCTGCACCTTTTCCTTCAGCCAGATCAGCTAAAATACTTGGAAAAATAACGATATCGTCAAGAGAATGTCAAGGGTTAATGCCAGGAGAATTTTAAATGAGAACTTTGTGTAGTACTATGTTTGATTTCTTCGATCAAAAAACAGAGCTCTGACAATCTTGCAAGAAGTTTTACTGAAAAGTTTTAAACAATAATGTGCATAGAAACCTAAATGAGCATTTTTCCACAGTGCTTTTGCCTCGAGATAGAAAAATTTATGCTTTGAATTGAATTCAGAACCTCTTAGATGAGAAGAGATTAGGACGTTTTTGAAAATCTTATGTCCTAGCAGAATTAAGATAAAAATAGAATTTAAACTATGACTAAAAAACGTGTTTTCCTAAAGTATAAATGAGACCATTTTCGATTACAAAACAGTAAAATATACAGCTAGATAAAGAAATTGATCACTAAGAAAACCTCTGGCCATCAATAAAATATACAAAAGCACTAAAAACAAAACGAAATTTTGAAAATTCAAGAAGCTTCAAAATTTGAACTTACTTTTGCCTGGTCTCTTTTTTGCTTACATGGCTTCTGGATGTCATCATCACCTGTGTACAATAAGATGGCAACTTTAACAGCAAATCCTTCGGCATTTTGTTGTTGTCGTCTTATACGAGAAAGAGTTTGAGGTAACAGATAATCTTGTGGCTTCTTTTTCTCATTCTGTTGCTCATATGTTGCTGAACAAGCTAAAATTAAATTATGTAACAGCTGAACCTCAAATAGTTAATATTTCTGAAGTTCTAGAAATGTTCTGGATGTTTTAAATTATTAAAAAATTAAAAGAGAAAGTAAAACAGGAAGAAAGACTGCATTTTATTTGACTAATATTGACCAAATGAAATCTAAGAGAAATCAGCACCATCATCCATATGCAACCGCTTTGTAGGAACACTGCTTTCCTTTGAAATATGAAGATTGTGGTTTTCTTTTTCTAGTTCCAACAATAGATTTTCGTAATCAGCCAATCCAGATAATGCTTGCAAGCAGCTTTTATGCATTGATGACAATTTTTTGCGCGGGTAACATATAGATGTTATAATTTGTATCCAACGAATCTAGAAAATAATTACCTCATAATAAAGGATTTAACTTAGGATTCAAATTTAAACTCACCCTCGAGTCCAAATTTATGATTTGATTCTTAATTTTGATTTTTCAATCCAAAGAATCAATTTCAAATTTAAATCTAAGATCGAACTCCCAAATAAAATTTACATTCCTTCTTAACCAGCCTATCCAAATTTAAATTGCTTTTTAGTCAGCCCACCCAAATTTAAATTCCGAACATTGCCTAAAGATACCCGCTCCATTTGACTCATCGTCACATCTTCGGAAAATAACATGCTGATCTCTTCACGTGTAAAAATATACCGCGCAAGACGTCGAACGAATGTCGTTGGATGAGAAGAAGTAGCCACCAGGTTATGAACAGTCTCTCTCGGACAATATCTGTAAATCTCATCTGCAAAAAGTCTTATGTTTCATCTGTTTTGAGACACCTCGCGATTCATAAAATTCGATAATAGAAACCACTTTCGCCTCCTGGTTTTCCTGTTCTTTTCATAAAAAACGATAGATGAAGAAAGCAGTGAAAGCAGCTAAAGTAAGAAGGGAAACAATTTACCTGCATAAACTTTTCCGACGTAGAAGAAACTATCTTCTTTACCAAAAACATCCGTTTGGACCAGCACTGACTTCATCTCTACAAAACATGTTCCTTAATTACAGCTTAAAGGAAGCATTTAAATGTTATATTGCCCTAAATTTGAGAAGTTGCAAACTACACCCAATCAATTTTTTCCTTTAAGATGATTTTTGAGATTCAATCTGACATCAGTCATAAAATGACCGGCCCACAACTTGAGCTGCTAAATAATACGGGATAAATAAAACCATTTTTTAAGAAACGTGATTTATAAATTAAACTGGTCAGCATCAAAATACACTGGTTAATTTTCCAGGATTGAAGCAATAAACAATAAGAGATCCCTCTATAATCTGAGTTCGTTAAGTAAGAACTTATTAAGTAGTGGCACTGAATGGAAAATTGTTATATGAATAATTGAAATTATGGGGTTATTTCGGGAAGTCCAAGCACAATCTTAACGATATGTAGCGCAGCCAACAAATACACTGGCATTCAAATCAGCGAATTTCCAGACAAAATTTATTTATATATTCGTTCAAGAAATCCTCGGCTAAACGAACGAAAACGAATGAAAGATTTAGGCGATGAATGAAACTCTCAGATTACCTTTTTCATATGCGGCACCACGTGATGGAACCGAAGAAGTAACGCGAGATTGTAAAGCAAGCGCAGTATTACTAATTTCAGCAAAGCACAGCATAATTATTTCCAAATCCTTTACAACATTTTTTTTAACAGTAACAACCGCACGTTTTAAGCCATTCGCTTCCCAACGAATATTACCGATACATCGAAGTAAAGAGCTCCAACCATAATTCAAATCTTCTATCTGTTTTATGACTCTAGTTGAAGCTCCAGAAAATTCGCTCGGAAAAGTTGGATCAGGATCAATATGTTTTTCGGCAAGTGGAACTCTGACACGATGTTGCGGAATGGGTCGTCTACAACTGGTGGATAAATGAGACTGTGGAAGGCACTCTCCACGCTTTTTGTATACCTCAGAATCAACGTGAGCTAATGCTGAAGGGGGGATACCGCAGAATAACGGTTGTTTTGGCAAATTTCGGTTTTGAAGCAACAACTGCAGTGCTGAGAATGGTTTGTTTTCTCCAACGTTTGGCATGCGTAATGATGAGGATGCATTTTTTACAGAATCATCTCTATCGGGATACCCTCTGCTGTCATTATATACTATTTGATCATTCTAAAAACAAACACAATAAGAAAAGAATTACAGTATAACTTGTTACGGCTAAAAATATTAGTTTCGAAAAAAATTGTAATCGTACTTTAACTTTAATCAGCAAAATTTTATTTATTTAATTTAAATTCAATCTAAATGCAAGCTAGCCTATCACTTTTGCTTAAATCTCGAATTAAAAACTAAATATCTCAGCGACTTTTTTCCAAAATTGAAAACCGCGACAAACTCTACCGTTCTCATAAGGGAACCACTGTGACGCCTCAACTGAACCGCAATTTTATTTGGTAACATTTGTGCTTCGGTGAGCTGAAATACAAAAATTATGCTTAAAATGGTCCGTCTCGACTACCACTTAAGAGTAAAACTCCGAAGTCTCAAAATACAACACTTCATTCTTGAAAATTGATAGTGATTTGATGTTTATCAACACTCTTCCAATTTTACTCAAGGCATTTTAAAATTTACCCAAAAAGGTATAGCATTTCAGACCAGCAAAAGGATTCATAGATAAAAACCCACCTTTTCGTTTGGAACCATAAATGAATTTGTGGAAATCGACACGCGTCTACATTTCTCAATCATAACATGACGTCGACCTACTCCGATGATCATGGCTCTTTCAACTTTTCCCTTCAGCTGAGCACTGACATTGGAAAAAGGCCAAAGTACGCCTATAATATCGCTCTCACGGACTACACAGAAAATTTTCAACTTATCGACATACAACAGAATATGGGCATTCCTGAAAATATATAGATACCGATGGCAATATTGCGAATTCTGAATTCTGGAAAATAAATTCTGATCTGTGATATATCAATTATGTAGGTCTACCATAATTGGAAAATATCAAGATGTTGGCAGTGAGGTGCATTCAATGCAATTAGGGATATAAGAAGTTCTCACTTATTGAATGAATCAATGCCATACATCATCCACTTAGGAATAAAGAATAAAAATTAATTCAAATTAAAAAAACTTACCCTTCTTCCGCATGCGTTACAGCATAGACCATAAATTTTAGCGCATAACCAAAACGCCAAATCGACGATTCCGTTTGTGCCAGTTCATCGTTTCTATTTAAAACTCGAACACACTCATCACTAATAGCTTTCCATTCGTCTTTTACATGATTCACTAAAAAAAACAGCTTCAAATTTCTGGAGAAAAATCCCAGCATATCTCGCATAATATATTTAGCACGACCTACAAACTCGATAAATACTATAATCTCCCAAGTCATATATGTTTTGTTTTCGGATCGTTTAATATCATTAAAAAAAGAAAAGATTTATGAATCATAAATTTTCCAAAAATTTCACAAATTATCCTACCTGTTAATTCACAGATACCAGTGGATACTTCATGCAATTTTTTGGTGATTTGATGAGCCACTTTATCACTCATATTATTGAAATTATTCGAATTGGATGACCAAATTGTCGGACGACGTTTCACTTCTTTGATAAGCATCAAACGCAATGCATCTGTCCATAGGAATTTTTCGCGATTGTATGACATTAGACGTTCCTGATAAAATCTGCGACAACATATTAATTTATATTTTCAAATTTAAAATGCATAATCCAAATTCAAAATTTGAAGTAACAAAATTTGTATAAATTAGATCGGATGATTTGTAATCATATGGAAATTTGAGCGAGCACTTCTGAAGTACCATCAATTACCTTCCCAAAAGTTCTAAGCCAAGAAGTTGTTATCATAATCATAGAACTATCTGGACAATTTTTATTTGTCTATAAATTCACGTGACTTTCTCATCATTGCAAACGTGAGTTTTATAATCTGTGCATACGTGCAAAACATCTCACATAACTTCTACATTCGCACGTAGAAAGAAACCATGAAATAGTACCAAACACCAAAGAATATTCATTCCCACATCATATTCCAATCTTATTTCCCGCTCTATTCACAAATTTGTCATGTCGTCTGCTCACACTCTCTCACTATACACGAACATCTTAGCTTATCTATCAATTGCATTCTATCGTTGCAATCGATAATATTTGTTCTCTCATCTATCTCAGTCAGTTTTTCTCCTCGTTAGGTTAGGGTTTTTATTATTGAACAGCAGAGGTCAAGTGTATCTGGTTGGCTGGTGGAGATCAAATGTTAGCCGCTTGATGGGTTTGATTAGGAAAGGTCAGATTGGATCCGGTATTTTTGTCTCATTGAAATTATTCGAATTGGATAACCAAGTTAAGTCGTAATGAATAGTTAAATGGTTGCGAATGAACGTTGACATTTGTTGTTTCTATTGTAATGGCCATGGTTCGGCTTTTTCTTTTTTTTATATACCTACCGTAGAGCCAACTCTTCAGTTTTACCTATGAAAAATGTTGATGAATATAGGTTATGACTGTTTGGTATTTCTTTCTATATGGGTCATGTCTTTCTTTTACTTTATTCTGCATGCGACCTAAATTGCTGTAAGCAAACACTGTGTATTAATCTGCCAATATTTATTGTGTCTCTCTAAGTTCCATGCATTCACGTTCATTTATTGGATACTATTCTGGTCACCGATTCACATTAATTTCCTCACGGAAATAAATATAAGTTCGAAACTAAACGTGTAAGGAACTCTCTGACTCATAAGCAAGGGTCACGAGCTCACAAATGTGATGACATTATTGTGAATGACGTAAAATATATATTTAATAATTGTTATGTTTGCTTATGTAAGTTATCCGCTTTGGACGTGCTATGCAGGTCATATTAGTGTGTTATATTGCACGTTTCAGAAATGTTGGAAGGAAGAACTCCGTTTCTACGTTATCCATTGTGGCGTTTCACTGCATTAATATCGGTGGTTTCGACTGCGCTTTCGGGATTTATTTTCCTGAAGTTACGCCAACATGAAAACATGCGGCGAAAAAAGTGGGAAGAGTTTTTCAAGTAAGGCTTAATTCGATTATTTACTTTACCATGCACTCATTTATGCAACAAGTTGTTCATTTTTCTGTAAGAATCAAGATTTTTATGCTGTAACAATATGGGATTACTTACTCTTGAATCGAAATTATTCTGTTTTATTCTTTTATCATTGAGAGTTGAAATATTTTTGTGAAAAATTTTCCTTCTTAAGTTTTAGACCATTTTAATTTGCCAGATTCAGATGTCTTACTATTTCAGGACTTACGATGCTTATGAACATATGAAGGAAATTTGCTCACATTCACCAGGAATAATGCATAGCTGCCCCAAGGATCTTGCTTTGGCATATGAAAAAGCTGGATTGAAAAAATAAATAGCAAATGCCTATTTTTGGCGATCTTGTTTAGTATTCTCAGCAAAATTTTCATTTTTTGCGGTCCGTTAGTGCTCTGTTAGTGAAACCGATAATTGTATTACTTGGTTTTGTAATTTCATTATTTCATTACATTTAAACATGAATGAATCTGTGTGCTTATTTGTAATATAGAACGTGATAATACATGGTATATTTAGGTAGCGAGAATGGGAGTAGCATATTGATTTCATTTGTTTGAATGTTTTATAAATGTAATTCTTTTTTGGAATAGAAGCTGGATAAAATCATCGCTTACTGGTCAAAGAAGCAACTAATTTATATGTATCGCCGCAAGTTAGGTTTTGCGCATTTCATTTTTTAAATAGATGGCAATATCTTTACATATATTTACATTTTCTAAGGATGTTTTTTGATCTATACACTTTGCAAATATTACATAGCTATTTCTTTCAAATAACAACTTGAGAAGTGCTTTTGGCGGCGTTTTTTACTATTATACGGCTGGGATTATTTTTGATGATTTCTTGGACTCGGAAACTACATACGAGGTTGCTTTTTATATTCTCCTTGATGGGTAGCTATGATCAGCAAATAATGTTTATTGCTTTTGGATACTTCAAAAGTCTTATTTCTTTTTCAAAAAAAAACTGGTTTCAAGGCTTGCAAGTTTTTATGTTTTCAAACTCTTACGGTTGGAATACAGAGTAAGTTATTTCATTGAATTTTATTGAGCGCGACTAAGTAAGCTTCGAATTTTTTATTTGCAAAAGACTGGTATAATATAAATGGGCGAGGTAACAATTTACAAATATACAGCAGCATGATGAATCATATGTTTGATTTAAAGATATGTATAATCTGTGCAAATTATCTCCGCTACCACTTACAATTGATCAATTTCGATGTTATAGCGAAGTTGTTTGGCCGAGAACCATGAGTAATAATTGTCGAATTCAATTATATCTGTAATTGAAAGTGCAAATTATATAGTAATCGTTTTCCAAATTTACTGAAGATTAGAATTATACTTGCGGAGTGAAGAAAGGTGTTGCTTTATTTAGAATAGTAAATACTATTTTGAGCTTTTGTGATGCTGTCAAAATTTCATTTACTGCCTCTTGTTTCTGATAACGCATATCGTAATTTCAAATATATAGCTGAAATTGACTAATTTAAATTCGAATTGCCAAAGCAGAACGGAAAAAAGGCTTACATCTTCCAGCTTGCTCGCACAGAATGGATCCAGAAATGGGCACTTGTGAGCATTCTAATCTAATATATGGGAAAACGGTTTCCATTTCAATTAAATTGTTTGCTTTGGAAGTTTTGTCAAAGTGTATGCCGAAGCCAATATCTTCCTCCGATGTCATATACTGCCAGCTGAAGTACATTTTCCATTTACGTATCTTAATATTGTGTTGTACTGTTTTGAACCTGAATCTTTGTATCTCAAAAATTGATATGGCTTAACAGGATGATGTTCGGTTCGAATGGTTCGTTCATCATCTTGACATGTTTTGCGAACATACCTAAAATATCCTAATTTGATGATATTTGATCGATCGGTCATTTCGAATTAAAGTGCCAACCGGAATGCCTTACGACAATTTTCGCACATCTCTTTTCAAACCCTTCCTCTAATGGACATTATTATACCCACACATTATTAGTTACCCATTACTGCTGCCATACTCTCCTGTAAAGTAGAATATGAAAAATAGAGAAGACTATTTCAATTTGGAAATGAATATTTAATGTAATATTGACCTGATTCTTGTGTTTGCTTCAACTTTAATCTCAATGAGATGTTTTTCACCGGCATAAACAGTTGTAAGTTGATCATAATCAGGCATCGCATCATCCGGATCAATATAACATGTATCAGGAATTGGTCCAAGGCCATAACGTATCTTAGATGGACATTTTGGATCACCATTTTCGCATAATTTACCACCCCAATGAACAGGCCATGAATCCAATTCAACATACTGTTTCAGTGCTAATTCCCATTCATCAATTGAAGGCATTTCGATTAATTCATGGAAAGAAAAAAACCATTGAAAAATTAGTAAATTAATTAAGTGAAGAAGAAATTCACCTTTGTTTGTATAAGATGCCTTCTATTATTTATTTTACTTTAAAGAAAATATTTCTAATTCATTTTACATTATTATTATTATTAACAATCATCATTAAGATAATTATTAAACAATTTTCATCTATCAATTTTAAATTTTAAATTAGCATATTTGAATTCTATTTTTTCTTTTTCCCTCTCCGCCTCTTTTTTTTAATGATATATTTTCTCTAGCAAATATAGATCAATCGGTAATTTTGACAATTTTGAAAATATATTTTTTTTCTTTAATTAAAATTTTACCTGTATTTTATCATTTAAAAATGCGGTCATCGTATTAAATGCAAGCCTGGCCATTTCAGGTGCTCGAATTATAAGAACTTTTTTAAGTACCAATGGATAGTGCTCTTGAAAAAGTAGTATAAGTGTTGTAAAAGATGATGCAAATGCTTTACATGAATAATGCGCACTACTGATATGATCCAAATCAAAAACAATCATCATTTGCTCGAATGCATGTCCAGTCTGTAAGATAAAAACAAAAAAGAAATTTTTTGATAATTTAAAAAAAAAAATTTAATTTTGATTTTACAATCAATTTTTTTCTTTGTTTTCAATTGCAACAATGTTAAAATTTTATTAATTAAACTTAATGAATTAAAAATGTAAAGAAAATTGGAAATGAAAATAATTAAGTAGTACATAAATATATATATATATAAATATTAATAAAATGAATTTGAGGAATTATTTAATTGTAAGAATGAAATTTGACTATTCAATTAATTCATTTTAAGATACTTTAAATCATTTCCAATTTGACTATTCAATTAATTCGTTTTAAGATACCTTAAATTATTTTCCACCTTAAATCATTTCCAATTTGACTATTCAATTAATTCATTTTAAGATACTTTAAATCATTTCCAATTTGACTATTCAATTAATTCGTTTTAAGATACCTTAAATTATTTTCCACCTTAAATCATTTCCAATTTGACTATTCAATTAATTCATTTTAAGATACTTTAAATCATTTCCAATTTGACTATTCAATTAATTCGTTTTAAGATACCTTAAATTATTTTCCACCTTAAATCATTTCCAATTTGACTATTCAATTAATTCATTTTAAGATACTTTAAATCATTTCCAATTTGACTATTCAATTAATTCGTTTTAAGATACCTTAAATTATTTTCCACCTTAAATCATTTCCAATTTGACTATTCAATTAATTCATTTTAAGATACTTTAAATCATTTCCAATTTGACTATTCAATTAATTCGTTTTAAGATACCTTAAATTATTTTCCACCTTAAATCATTTCCAATTTGACTATTCAATTAATTCATTTTAAGATACCTTAAATTATTTTCCACCTTAAATCATTTCCATTTATTTCAACAAATAAATTGCAAATAAAAAAAGGATAATAATTTTGAAAATATTTTTGAAAAAGTTCAAGTTTATTCAACTCTTCAAACAGTTCGATTTATTATTTAGCTATACCAATCAATCTATTTAGGCAATGAAAATTGTTAATAGTAAAATTTTGCAAATTGTTAAATTTCAATTTTGACCTCTTTGGATTTATCGCCGCATAATCGCATACCCCGTTCAATTGCAGCAAGAGAATATTTGATGTAGTCACTGGATTGCACCGATTTCAACATTCCTACAAAACGACATCAGTTTAAAAAAAAAAAGACCTTTTAACTGGTTCAGCATTTATAAAAGGTATTTTTATTGATAATACAAATATATCTTTCTGATCTTTTCATTCTTCAAAAAATTTTTCAAAAGACATTTCAAGGACAGTTAGTTTATATTTGAAGCAAAGATCATATAATATGAGAAATTTTAAAATCAGGTTTTGAAATCAAAAAAAAAAATACAATTAATTTAAAAAGAAAGAAAAAAAAGTGGACAATATGGTACCTTCAACATCCATATTACCCAACAAAGACATAAGTATGGGAAAACCATCTTTATCTGATAAGAATCCATAACCACAGTATTTCTCTAAAATCTGAAAAGAAATAAATTTGAAATTGAAATATCTTTAAAATGATGCTATATTATTTGCTATCACGATTTTATCATTGGTAATTAATATTAATTGCTAGAAGTTGTTTAAATTTCTCATTCTATTATTACTTATCTTCACTTCTCCTATCAATTCAATAATTATTGCAACGATTATTGATGATTGTTATAATGATTATTATAACGAAATCATTGAAATCATACAATAACTGTTTAAGATATGCCAAATTTCGATTTTGAATATGATTTTTTTTTGAATACCAAAATAAATTTTAACAAAGTAATAATCAGAATCCAAAATAAATATTAGTTTAAATCTATTATATATATACTTAACCTTTATACTTAACATTTTTTTATTGCTCTTATTTTTAAAAAAACAATAGCAACAAAAACTGAAATTACTTCAGGTGCTTTCCAATTGGATAAATTATCGAGATCCCATGCTTTTCGAAATACCATATGTTTCTTCAGTGCATCAGCGGTTTCATCGAAACGTCCGTCACGTGAGCGTAACCACCTTCAAAAGCATTGCAGTCTATTCGATACGTGTTTTTTATTAAAAAAGAAAAGAATGAAATGGATGAAAATAATTTAAGAAGGAATTAATAGAATACTGTCAATGCCTGTATTCTTCCATTTACCAATTTTCTATTTTCATTCATGTTAATTTAAAATTTTTCATAATTAGAACTCATTTTTCCATCCCAGAAAAAATTAATTAATAATGCTTTGTTTAAAATATGTAAAATACAAATTAAAGAATGACATTTTTAATTATGGGTAAATCAGTAGTCAAAAAAAGAGAATATGAAATAATATAAAATCAGAATCATGATCATACTTGTTATTAAGATTAACATCATCTCATATAGCTATCCTGACTAATTTATGACTAGATTGAAAATCGAAGAAAATGATAAAATAATTTATAGAATCTGAGGATATTTATCAAATACTTCAATTAGTAAAAAAATAAATGAAAGAAAAATCCTTAGTTCCGGAATTTTTTCGAAAAAAGAAATTCTGGAATGAATATTCATTTGGTTTAATTAATTAAATATTGAATATTCATTTGTTTTAGCTAATTAAATGTTGAATGCTCATTTGTTTTAACTGATTAAATGTTGAATATTCATTTGTTTTAACTAATTAAATATTGAATATTCATTTGTTTTAACTAATTAAATATTGAATATTCATTTGTTTTAAATAATTAAATATAAGTGCAAATGTTTAAAGATTTTGATAAAAAAAAGTATTTCATTCATTTTTTTTTAAGGCAACATAAAATTTTATTTATTTCTAACTTTAACCTTGAAGAAATTTTATATCATTGTTGATGCAAAAAATTTATTTTTGAAAAATATTTTGAAGAGATTGGAAAAAGCGAAATTAAATTGATGTAAATTTGATAATCATTTCATCTCTTTCTTTCTCTCTTTCTCTCTCTCTCTCTCTCTTTCTTTTCATCCTAAAATTTTTTTTCCCTTCCTATTCTTTTGATTCAGCAAAAGAAATTATAAATTTTGCAAATTTAAAAAAATCATTTCATTTTAAAACAATTCAACGATACAACAAAAAAACATCGTATATCATAAAAGAAAGAAAGAAAGAAAGAGAGAGAGAAGAGAAGAAAGAATCAAAATAATTTGAAATCATCAATTCTTAGACATTATTGTATTCCCCTAAGAAGTAATTAAAATAAGTGGGAAGAACTCGTTAGCCATTTCTCTTCCAAACTTGCTTTTGAAAATCTTTTTCCATTGTTATTCTGAATTGCTTTCTCTCTAACAATTTCGTTGAGAACGAAACTGGTATCTCTCAACCAGAAAGAACTTTCATTTTTCAATAATTTCATCATAGCTAAATTTTCGACGATCATTAAAAATATTTGAAATGAAAAATAACGATTTAAAAATTATTTAGTAAATATGTTATTTAAGAAAAAAATTCTTTCTCCCTACATCTTCAACAGAATGATTTTTAGATATAATATGGTAGAATCGTTTATTTCCAAATTTTTTATGAATTATTTCCAGTTGATTAATTATTTGCACTTTTTAAAATAAAAAGAAAATATGAAATACACTATTTATATTTCAACTTTTTTCTACTTCAGCAATTTCATCAATAGTAACGAAATGTTACAGTGATTTTACAAACATAAAATTTGTTATTAATATACACTTTTTTGTAATTTAAAACTTGATACAGTATGCTAGCGTATACGGTATTCTACCGTATCTGCGTTATATGAAAATCTTTTTTCTTTTTAAAATAAAAAGAAAATATGAAACACACTATTTATATTTCAACTTTTTTCTACTTCAGCAATTTCATCAATAGTAACGAAATGTTACAGTGATTTTACAAACATAAAATTTGTTATTAATATACACTTTTTTGTAATTTAAAACTTGATACAGTATGCTAGCGTACACGGTGTTACGTGAAAATCTTTTTTCACTCACAAAGTAACAAATGAACATATAAATTTCGCCTTGTTTTTCTTTTCCATTTTTTTATATCAGTAATATTTCAATCTTCTGTTAAAACCTAAAATTGAAACTTTCATTTTAACAACTACAAATTCAATATTAATCTTAAATTTTACAAAATTTTTCCCTTTAATTTATTTCTTTTATAATTGAAAATATATTATATGATAGTATTTGCATTTTTAAATTACACAAAATAATTAATTATAATTAATTAATTTGTATTCACATTGTTTTTGCTTTATTTCCTTCATCATTCTTTCCCACTTTTGTCACTTTCAAAATTAACGAAAGAATTTCTTTCCCTAAAATTAGAAAAAATAAGATAGATGGAAGAAAAAATTAATTCCAGGTTATGATGAGAAAAGAATCTCATGACATATTTGTAAAATAATTCATAGGATGATCGAATGGAAATTTCATATCATTTAATTTGATGTAAGGACAAAAGAGAACTAAATTTAAATCCCAATAACAAACTTTTCGAAAAGATACGTGATGAATAAATATGTTGATTCGAAGAGTGAAAATGAAATATTTTAGACCAACTACAATAACAAATATTGAAAAAAATTTATTTGTTTTTTTAATTGCTGACAGTCCGAAAGGTAAGAGAAGATTTCAAAATTAATTTCACAATAGTTAATTGATAATTTTTAATAAAAATAAAGATTTAATTAGTCTGAGAAAAAAAGAAGAAACGAAAATAAGATCTGTTGCTGAAGTTAAATTTAATATTTAAATTGTTAATCGAAAAAATCAATAATTTATTATAACTAATAATTAATGAGTAATTTTATTTAGTTTCATATATATATAATCAAATAATTTTAGAATCAATAATTTTATTTAATTAGCAAATTTTAGTTTCATAATTAATGAAATAAAATAGAAATTATCACTCCGTGTTTATCATTCATACTGGTTTTATCACACTTTTAATTGCTTAACAAGAAAAAAATGGTTACTACGAAGAATTTTCTCCACTTTACGCTTCCTCATGAAAATTGATTACTGATAATTATATCAGATTAGGAACAGATTATTGATTATTTCACTCCTAATATTATTTCAATTCGGTGTAAAACTATTAATTATTTTTTTATAATTATGAATAAATTTTTGAGTAATAAAATTGAGAAGGTTGTTTTTAATTCACGTAAAAAATAGTAAAGAAATGATAATTTTGACAAATCTGAAATCATAATTTTATAGTTTTTTTTTTTATTCGTAAGAATAATATTTAAAATACCGAAACAAAATTCAAAGCTAATAGGCATAATTATTTCGTGAAATGGTAAGCCATTCTTGGATTCCAATTTCGATTACGGAAATGAAGCAAAAAAATTCGAAATCATCTAATACGTGAAAAGCTGTCAGGAAGGATTATCATAATTGTCTTGAAATACTTTTTTAATATTTTTTTCTTTTGCTCAATTTCCCCTTTTTATTATTTGATGAATTTTATAAATACTATAATATAATTTACTTAGTATTGAATTATTACTTGTGAAATAAAACTATGCAAAATCATAGAACACTTTTTGGAATGATAAAAATTTATATTAAATTACTTGAAAATATAATTAAATTGTCATAATCAGAATATTTTTGGAATGATAAGATATACATTGAATTACTTGAAAATATAATTAAATTGCCGATAATTCGTTGATTTATTCGTTGAAATAAGTAAAAATAAAATTAGGAATAAGAAGATTCAAACAATTATAATTCAATTATCAAATCAAATAATCATAATTTAATTAGCAAATCAAACAATCATAATTTAATTATCCAATTAAACAATCATAATTCAAATTATCAATCGATAGATAGTTGCAATTTTAAAAGAAAAACAGAAAAATTACTCTTTGCAGAAAATATTGATGAAAGGATAAGAAAATTATTTTTTTGTTTGCAAAAATAAAATTAGAGAATAAGAATTTGGAACTATGAAACAATCATAATTTAATTATCCAATTAAACAATCATAATTCAAATTATCAATCGATAGATAGTTGCAATTTTAAAAGAAAAACAGAAAAATTACTCTTTGCAGAAATTATATTGATGAAAGATTAAAATTATTTTTGTTTGAAATATATTAATGACACACATATATATATATATATATATTTTTTTTTTGTCATTAATTAATTAATTAATTACAGTACAAAAATGAAATTTCCTTTTTTTTTTTTGTTTTATTTTCCAATCATTTAAGATAATTTTAA